TCTACTGTTAACTAGTCTCAATTTAATTATCAAGCAGGGATTCCAAGCATCTTCCCATTTTGCAGCCTTCAGCTGCTTTCTTGTTATTTATGGTACACCTCTAAAGACTATAAAGCATTATTGTGCATATTATATTACTTATCATCAGGTGCTTGAAAATGTGCTTTTGCATTTCTAGCTCAATCTCTAGTTACTTATTAATGGCTAATATTTATTGAGTGCCTACTTTGTGCTAAATAATGTGTAAGCATTATTTAAGTCTCAAATTGATTCTGTGAGGTGGGTATGATTACTACCTATATGAAATATCTCTAGAAACTGAGGTTTAGAGGTGAAGAATCTTGCCAGATTCCATATTATACCTATAATAAATGGCAGAGTCAGGATATGAACCCAATTCTTTCTGGCTCCAAAGCCCACACTCAACATAATCAGATGATAATGTCTCCCAAAAGACCAAACGGGTTGGCTGGTTAAACCTTATGCATTGATTGCAAAACATTCTGGAGACTCTGCTTTCCATTAAAAGTTTGTGTAATGTCAACCATCTACATTTGTAAGCCATACAAACCAACTAAATAAATATAGGTAACTCTATTTTCTGGAATCATTTAGATCACAGTTTCCCAACATTTTGGACTAGACAATTTATTGTGGAGGTTTACTGTCCTATGCATTGTAGGATGTTTAGCAGCATCTCTGGTCCCCAGATGTCAATAGCCAACACACCTCCTCTAGTTGTGACAAATAAAAATGCCCCCAGACACTGTCAAATGTCCCCTGCATGTCACAGTCATCCCCAGTTGAAAGCTGCTGATTTATATCTGGAAGGTCTACAAAAACATCAAAAGGAATACAACTATGAGCTAATCTCTGGATTTGTCAGCCCCACAAAACTTTTTCCTGAAACATCCTAATAATTTAAGAAGAGTAGTTTGGAATAGGCTTGTTTTAGCCCTTCTTTACTTTGTAACTTGTTTCTGGATGTATTATATTGTTTTGATGCTTGCAATTTCAACTTTGAGAAATACAGATTAAACCATGCGAGTGAAGGATGATATTGTCTTAGATTAAATAAGCATGGTTCTGAGTATCCATAAGTTGTAATAAATGAATGTGAGAAGAGTATCCTGCAATATATTTTACCATTTCAAAGTCTACTTTTAATACAAAACACAAAGTTCATTTTAATGTTAACAAGACAGAGTATTTTATATAGTAATTATATGTTGGTTTTTCAAAATCTCATTTTATTTTTAAAAAAGCAATATATAATTATATTATTTACTTTTCTTCCTGGTATTTAAAGAGTTCTACTACATGATTGTGCATTAAGGAAAACTGACTTTGAAAAAATATTTTTCAATTACTCCTCTGCAAAATATTATGAATGTTAACCGACTACATTATTATTAATATTATTATTATTATTATTATTATTATTATTATTATTACAGTGCCCACTAGCACCATCATGATTATTATCTTTTAATTTTCTTCAGAACATTTATGCTCAAAATTTAAGAGCAATGGCCTACAGCCAGAAAACTGATCATTAGGGAATTAATCATAGACCAACAGAATCATATCTACATAAGATACATTTTTTTCACATCTAACGTATTTCCTTTAAATTTGCTAACTAGTTTAACTAAAATAAGAGAAGATATTTGAAACAGCAAACTATGTACCAACCACAGGGGTGCTGGGAAGATTAAATTCAATAACACAGGAAAGCTATAAAACATTTGATATTCAAAGGCCTACATCGGTTTTATAGTCATAACTACCATTTCTACATTGTTCATTGTGGGTCTGGAACTTTACTTATATTTGTACAATTAATTCATCATAATCATTCCGTGAGACTTAGTGTTACAACCTGTTCCCCATTTTTAAAATGACGAAAACAGAGGCAGAGCAATGTTAACTTACTCATCCTAGGTTATGTAGCTATTAAGCCACAAAGCTGGGATTCAAACTCAGGCAATTTTTTTGCAAGGGTCTGCCTTCCCAAGCATACACAACTCACTGGAAACCACACTGAAACAATTCCATGATGTTTAGCCACACCATAGATTAAAGTTACCTACGTAATGGAAAGAAGGGAATTTTGATTTCCAAATAAATCAGATGTGTGTGTGTGTATTTATTTATTTATTTATTTATTTATTTATTTTTCCCATCCCCTTGTTATATGATAGTAGAAGAAACAACAACAAGAACTCAGTTTTAACAACAGAAAAATAAGAACAAATATTGCCTTGCATAATTATTACAAGGATTAAATAACACACCAATGCTTGGCATGGTGCCTGATGTGCTCAATAAAGGGTAATTTTTGGAGCAGGGATGAGCCTGCACCAAGACTCCTGCTTGGTTCTCCTTCTGAATAAAGGTACATATAATTCAAAAAAGATTATGAATGGTAAAATCTAGACTTTTTTTTCTTCCTCTGTGAATTTAAAGGAAATGAGAGCAAGCCTATGGCATAATGTTTTTTAGAACTAAATTTTAACTGACTGAAATCAAGAAACACCAAGAAGATACTGTGTTTTACAAAGAGTTGAAAATTCAAAATCAAAATTCAAATTTTATTTTCTTGGGTTATATAAGCATATCATGAACTAAAAAAATATTTATTTTGATGTTTCAGGACTAGCATTAACATTCCTCTGAATATTAAAAAGAACACATATTTCTAAATTGTAGAATGTTCCTGCTTTGTAGCCATACATCTCCAGTATATCCAAACTCCAAACCAATGGATAGCTTTAGCATATCTCAATGGATGTCAAAAGATAGTCTTCACTGTTTTATAAAGTCAATTTATACTCTATCTATTAAAATAACATGGTGAACAGCATAAGAATAGTTGGATTCATCTTTGTCTTCATCCCATGAGGATAGAAAGCCTGGGGGAGAATGGTGTACAAATAAGTACTATATGTTCCATGATTAGTGTCAGTTCATATTTTCTACATGTAATTTTACCTATGGTTTATTGGCATTTAAGTTAGATGTTTATCTAAACTGCTCTGACAATTCCATAAAAGGAAATATAATAAGACTCCTATAAAATCTTCAACGTGTTTTGAATAAAAATGAGAACATTAGAGTTACTAAAATCCTTTAGTCATAAAAGTAATAGATATTTTGTGGTGGTTGGACAGTTTTCACTTTGGCATGTCCATCACTTGCACTATGAAGTGATGACAGAGGCCTGTGTCTCCCCATGGATGCAAAGTGAAGAACTGGACAACTACTGAATTGGATTATTCAAATGCCACCCCCTCTCCCCGAATAATCTCAGTATGTCCTTTAACAAATGAACATTTCACAGTTTGGTTTCTCTTAGAGGATAGCTCACAGCCAAAATATTGTCATGTAATAGCAGATATCTAGGGGATGCAATGAAAATACCTGGATTATACATTTTGTCAAGCAGGGTGTAAAGAACCAGGGACAGCTTTTCTCTTAAAAGAAGCAGTTATGTGGAAAGTGTTCTATCCACATTCTTCTCCTAAGAAACATTAAGGGATCTGTCCGTAGTGCTGAAAAGGTCCCCACTGGAGAAGGCTGGAAATTTCATGGGATGTGCATTAACCTGATGAGTTCAAGCAGTATTTTCAAGTCTCAAACTAAACATCCTTTCAAACTAAAATTGAAATCTATAAAGGACATAAATAGTCACAACTGGCTCTTCAATGTGTAATTCACAGATATAAGAGATAAATTAAAGGAGAAAATTCCCTGTGCTCTAGAATGGTAATGAGGGGCACAAACCACAACTAACAAGAGGTGGCATACCTGAACATGGCAAAACTCCAAAGAATGCCTAGAATTCTGTATAACTAGGAGTATTCTACAGAAAACCTTCGTTTAGCCCCACTGGGGGGAAGAAGCTGCACAGAGTACAAGGCAATGTTAACTTGGCTGTCTCAAATGGCCAGAGGCCAGCATTAAGAATACAGATTAGCTCTGACCCAGTCTCAAGGGACTCAAAACAATAAAACAATAGGTAGGGAATGAAAAAAGAGGTGGAAGGGAGATGCTGCCTTCCCACTGGTCTGTGTCAATTTCTTAGCAGGAAGTAAAGTGTTGGAGCATCTATCTGCCTGGTTACTCAAGCTTACAGTTCAGCTGAGGCAGCACCAAGATTGTGCCTAAATAAGCACAAGTGCTTGTTAACCTCTCCTCAATTTCCCTTCCCCACAGCACCTGCTCCGGAGGGAAATGAGGGCAGTTGGAAATTCCAACACCAGTACCACAAGCCTTCCAGGCAGACTCTTCACCTCTCTTTGTGAGGTCGAAGTCCAGGTTAGGCTCTGATCATCAGCTAGCTCTTGGGCCTTACTGGGGTTCTTTCCCCAAGTCACTGTAGCCTGGGTTCCCTCCTCGGCATGCCGCTCGTGCTGCCGCTCCCCAGTAACTAGCAGGCTTTGTGTCCGAAGGGAAAGATGCATCCACAGGAAAGGAAAGAGCGGGAGGGTGCAGACTGGGGTTCAGAAAGCAGCACGCTAGCCTGAGTTGAAAAAGCTGTGCTTTCAGCACCACCCGCTGTCCCCCCTCCTCCTGCAGCAGGCGCCAGGATCGCGGCAGCTTACCGATCTACTGGGAAGCGATTCTCCTTCCTTTCCCTCTCCACCTTTGCTTCTCTCAATCCCGAGCCCTCGGGTGGTTTGGGGCAGCACAGTCTGCATACTAAACACGCGCACCTGGCCTTAGGGAGCGGAAACTCGGATCCGAAGGCATGCAGAATCCCTTTCTCAATCCTTGCAGCCATTCCCTCTTTTACCCCATTGCTCTCGCCCTTTCTCCCAACAGGTTTAACTAAGGCCATCAGCAAATGAAGCGGACTTCAACCTCGAGGTCTGGCCTCCCTGCTCCACGCTTATCCCACTCCCAAACCAAACTGTGAGCTACCCAGCAAGCTGATAGCTCCTACATCCTTCCTGGGCACAGGGACACTTGGGCACACAAACCCTTAGCGAGCTTACCCCCCTGTTGGCCGCACAGCCGGCAGTGAGATGCGGTCTAGCTAGCCCCCCATAAAGTTGGGCTGTGCTGATCAGCGGGGCAGAGCCGGCCTCTCCATTCCCGGGCTCCCCACCAAGATGATCTTAAGCTCATCTCCTGTGCTCAGTGCGCACAGAACAGCAGAGCTGAGGGCGGTGTGTGCAGCAATCTCCCTGCTACTGAGAAAGGGGGGAAGGGGAGAAGGGGAGCTCGCGGAGGAGGGAGGGGTGGTAGTTTGTATTTATAGAGAACAGAGTTCTCAGCGCAACTTTTTGGTGCCACCAAGTGGCACAGTGAGTTCCTTTAGGAACACAGACTTCGGGTCGAATTTGGATGGGTAAACCAGCCCCACAGCCAGATGATCACATGATAAGAGGATCAGGAGTTCAGGGGCACACCTAGGACTTGTGTTTTCCCATGTGCACCCTCATATACCAGCACGTGTGATGCAGATCCCAGAGATCTAAGAATGAGCTTACACTGAGGGGGAAGAAATACCTGTGCCCTCTTCAGACAAGTGGCAGAGGTGTCAAGGACAATGGGCAGACGCCAGTTGCCTCCTAGGAACCTAAGATCCCTTGTCTCAGGAAGAATATCCATTCCCCTCTCCCTCCTAACCATTCTGCCTGGATTACAGTATTCTCAGATCTGACTTTAAAATCTTCCTGCCATCTGGAGTGCCCAACCTTTAAAATGAGATGCCATTCATTTTCCTTGTGTTAGAATCAATTCCAGATTATTTCCCAAACGCTCAGATTCAAAGAACTTCACAGCTTTGCACCAAACCTCCTTCTTTAATTGCTACCTTAAAAAAGCAAGTGACTTTAGGCTGTATGGATCTGAGTCTCTCCAAACATCACTCAGAACTCTAGGTTCCCTTGGTTATAGGCTAGGTGTCCGATTGTCCTTCTCACCCATCTCGACAGACCTCTCAGCATGCATTACACCAACCGCACAGCCAGAACCCTGCAAATGTCTTCGATACTTTGAGAGAGAATGTCCTGAAGCTTCCTTTATTGGATTTTCTGGGTTCTCTTCCTTGCTTGTATGCAGCCCCGAAAACCCATACAATCACAGACAGACACTACTGCATGGAACTCTAGTGCCCTCAAACACAGAAGAATCTCTCTACATTTTGCAGAAATGACACAAATGGAGAAACTGAGCACACAAAGGTTAAGGGACTTTTTCAAGGTCACACATTTTCCTAGAGACCAGCCCAGAGACTACCCAGTTTGGAACTAAATGAATACAGTGATGCCAAACCTGACTCCGAGGCTCCCGCTCCTTCCACCGCCCCATTCACTCATTACTCAACTCCATTTTCTCCCCCCAACGGTCCCCCCCCCACCGCCCCATCCCTCTCTCTGACCCCATCCTTTGCCAGAGTTCCCAAAAGAAACCTAGTGTAAGGATGTTTCCTTATCCCCAGTGGGAGTACAGGAACTTGAGCATATAGGTCCAGAGTTACAGGTGCACCCCCTTAAAATGGCCCCCTGTTCTAGAAAACCTCTCCCTCCTGTAGTGTATTCATGGAAGTGTCATTTTAGAAATGAACACTGGCATTCACACCCCACCAGGTCCGTCTTGTGCTGCCTCTTTTCAAGGTAAAGCACCAGCAAATGCTCTTGTTAGCCCCCAAATACTTAATGGTCTCAAAGATAGATAAGCTCCCCCCTCCCGTGTTATGCACCCTTTTGTGCACATGTATCGGTATGCGAGAGAGAAAGAGAGAGAGAGAGATCCAAACGCCTCCTTTGGCTCAGATCTCTATTTTCTCCTCTGATTTTTTTTAGTTCGTTTTCTATGGAAACGAGCCCACTTAAGTCCCTCACTTATGCAAATAAAAGCAAAATGATCTTCATAAACCTCTCATTGGAGCGAAGCCGCGGTAGCCTGGGCTCCTGACTAGAGATTCGTGTCTGATTCACACAGAACACGTCCTTGCAGGGTGACTTTTCTAAACTTGCAGGACCTCGTAGTGTCCCTGGCTCCACCAATTCTCCACCTGCCCACCACCTGCCCTCCCGGGTGTCTTTCGCCCAAGCTCCCGCCCCTCGCCTGAATGCTCACCGTCCCCGTGCTGGGGGAGGGGCTCCGGCGCTATCCTCCCTCAGTGGTGACTCGCGGCTGAAAGAAAGAAAACGGCGCTCTGCTTACCAGGTGCGCGCCCTGAGCCCGGCGCCCCCAGCCAGCCGCTCCTCGCGGGCTTCCTGCGCTCGCGTGCCGGCCTCGGCCGCAGCTGGAGCGCCAGTGGCGGCGGCGGTGGTAGCGGCGGCGGCAGGCGGAGCGGCCCCGGGGCCCGCGGCGGTGGCGCTCGCTTTCTCGCGCCAGCGCCGGGAGCACGTGCCGCGCTCGGGCGGACGCAGCTGGAAGCGCAGCGCAGGGCCCCTTCCCACTCCTGCAGCGCGCGGCGTGGGGGCGGGGGAGGGGGGCGCCGGAACGGCCGGGGCACAGACCCGGCGGGTGACCTCGAGCGGAGAGCCTCGTAGTCTTCGGGGTTCAGGCGAGAGGAGCCTCGGGCTCCCTCTGCAGCTCTTCAGCTTCGCTCTGGGAGCCGCGGAAGGAGAAGAGCTGTGCGTGGAGGCGTGGGTGGGGTGTCACTCAGCGAGAAGCCGGGGCAGCAGGTAGATAATAAGCTTCTTTCTGACGGTGGCACTGAAACCCCTGACAGTGTTTGGGAGAAGGGGCGTCACTGCTGGCGGGCACAGAGAGCCAGGAAGTCAGGGAACCCCAAGATGATTCGGAGGTGTGAGTGCTTAGAAAGAACGGTCTCTTTAATGGCATTACTTATTAATAATACCATTTTGCATTTGTCTGCGCGTCTTACAAACGATTCTTTCCATATCCATTAAAATTTCTTTCTCCGTGGTGCTTAAATATGTTTTACTTACTCAAATGACTCCTTTCCTTCCCCCACCACCCCCGTAACTACCAAAATGGTTTAAAAAAAAAAAATACTGAAGTTATCTTTAAATTCCAAAACATACTTCATTTCCGCCTCTGAAAAGGAGATTGGTATAAATTAATTGCATGGCTTAATTTAAAGAAAAGAGAGACATTGCAGCAATATTATTAGTAGTCCCATGATACTTCCCCAGCTGGATTTTAGCAGCCAGGTGCTTGCAGCAGTTGGATGGAGGGTTAAAAGCTGAGGACACTCAAGTTAAGGGAGCTGGTCCTGATGAATATATTAGGGATGGAGATTTCCCACCAGACCCTTGAAAACAAAACAAGTTGTTTTTTGATAGCTTCAGGGTTCAACAAGAAAAAGATGTTATCTACCACACCTTGTTGATCTTTCAACAATGACATTTTTCTTTGCCCCATTTTCATGTGTGCTCTGATGGTGACATTGTTGATTTCTCAGATTCTTTTATCGCAACCCAGGAAGCGAGCTTCAGTACTTTGTAGACAGGCCAGCAAAGCTGTGGTTGATCTTCCTGAGTAAGAAAGAGGAGAAAGATGGTAGAGATGAGAAAATACAAAAATTGTGAGGGTTCTGAGGAAAATAAAGGGGATCTAATGGCTAGCTGATTCTGGAGATGTGATTAGGTTTGATGTACAATATGGTTTTATAGCCCAATTGTCTGGGCCATTGATGGTAAGGACAAGGTCATAAATCTGATTCTGGCATGGGCCACTAAGCTTGGAGGGAGCAAAGGACACACTAAGTTCCTCATCCTTCGTCATCACTTGGAACTGGCTCAAAGCACATCAATGAGTGGGCTAAACCTAAGTAAGAAAGGGTTCTCATGGTGGCTACTCTTCAATTTCCTATACATGTTTCCTGCCCTGCTGTCTCCCAGGATTGTGGAGAGGATGGGATGAGATAGGACATGTCAAAGCATGCCAAAAATGATAAAGCACTCCATGAATGTAATACATAGTTTACCAACACATATCCACTTCCTCTGCAACAAAAGGTAAAATGCAAAGGACATTCACTCATGTTAAACAATAGTGATATTTTCAGCTGAGAAGTAAAAAAAAATTATACATTGTTTTTTTAAAAAAAAAATTTTAACGTTTATTCATTTTTGAGAGACAGCAAGCAGGGGAGGAGCAGAGAAAGAGAGGGAGACACAGAGCCTGAAGCAGTCTCTAGGCTCTAAGCTGTCAGCACAGAGCCCAATGTGGCTTGAACTCACAGATCAGACTGCAAGATGATGACCTGAGCCAAAGTCAGATGTCCAAATGACTGAGCTACCCAGGCACCCCCAAAATTATATAATCTTAAATTGCTCAGTGACATTTCACAGTATAGCTTTACCTCATATTGGTAAAGTGTGAATTAGGTAAAATTAAAATTTAAAGGAGAAAAGAAACAATGTTTTAAGTCCCCCAAACAAGTTTGGATTGTAAAATGTTCCAAGGTATGACTTTTGCCTTAGCATGAGATATTAATAATCAAAATATTGTAATTCTTTATAGAATAGTATACAGGAATGAAAAAATTTATACTTATAATTAAGTATAAAACTTGTAATTTTCATTGATTCCTTTCTTTCTCTCACACTTAACAATTTGTCAGCAAATAGCTGCACCTTCAAAATATATGCAGGGGTCCCTGGGTGGCTCAGTCATTAAGCATCTGACTTGGCTCAGGTCATGATCTCACAGTTCACAATTTCGAACCCCACGTTGGGCTCTGGGCTGATACCTCAGAGCTTGGAGCCTGCTTCAGATTCTGTGTCTCCCTCTCTTTGCCCCTATCCTACTTGTGCTCTGTGTTTCTCTCTCTCAAAAATAAATAAATATTAAAAAAATTTAAAAATAAAAATATATCCAGAATGCTACCCCTATCTAACAATTTTCACAGATACTGTGTTGAATCAAGCCATTGTCATCTTTTACCTGCTTATAGCAATAGCTTCCAAATGGTCTTTCAGCTTCTTCATTTTTTTTTTCTATAAGCTACATTCAACACAACATCCAGAGTGTTTTTTTTTTTATTTTTGTTTTTTAAAGAAGTTAGCTTATATCAAAACCCTCCAGTAACTTTCCGTTTCACTCAGAGTCAACACCCAGTTCTTTACCATGACTCTACATAATCTGTCCCCACTCCATTACCTTTCTGACCTCATTTGCTAGTACTCTTCCCTTTTCTTTGCTCATTCTACTCCAGCCACCAGGACTCCCTTGCTATTTCTTAAACGTGCCTGGCATGCTCCGATCTAATGGTCTTTG